TAATTTAATTCGAACAAGTTTCCATTTCAATCATCAACTACCTACTCAAAGTATATTTAAGATTTTATTTAAGTTCAAACATAATAATTATGTATTCATATTATCTTCTGATTTGTGACTGTAAATAAATTAAGTATTAAAATAAGATTGACATCAAAGATTAGCATTTTTAAAATACTTTTGAAGAAAAAATAATTTTAWGTAGGTATCACATCAAGCCTTGACGTTGTTTATGGTGAAGTTTAATAACTTTGCTTGTCAGTTAAATAAGTTACATAGTTTATGAAAAACTGATAAATTGCATTGGTATAACCGATTTCATTTTAACAAAGTTTTTATAATCATCTAGATTAGTTAAACGGTGATATTTTAATTGACAGTTGATAAAAACGAATCAAGTTTTAATAATCTAATTATTAATAAAATATATATTCAATGAGAAAAAAAAACCATGAATTTAAAATATTAAACCGTTTCAAAAACTGTAATATCAATGGTAAAGCAGTCATGAACTAAGTATTCACCTAAAAAGGATTTTTATTTAATGGATTTTTAAACTATTGAATAATAATACATTATTTATGTTCACCTTAAGTTAAACATGAATGTTGTTGATGCAAATATTTTAGAATTTTCATTGTACGCWGTTGGTATACATTATTTAGTTAAATAATATAAACTATGGTAACCTAATATAATATACTATTATAATACCTAAAATTTAAACAACAATATTGATGCATGATTTTAATTAATTAATATGATATTTGAATTAGGATAAAAACACCTGCGAATTTGTATCGTCGCATCACTAGTGAGTCATAAGAGGTCACCGAGATATTATAATGAGGCTAATAATATAAAGAGTGTCTATTGTCTAATTAAGAATGTACCAGGAGGTCCAGTCGACAGTACCTCCACGTCATTTTGTCGCCTACTTTTCGATTAAATTCACACTTAATTATCGTTCCAATCAAAAATAAAGTGCTATATAAAAGTGTATATCTTTTTCGGCAGATTTTACTAAAAATATTAAAATTCATTAATAATTAATAAATATTGAAAATTTTTCAARGTATTGTCTTTAATAATATTATGACATTTTAGCAAATCATAGGTACATTTTTATATTTGATTAGGTATACCATAGTAAAATTTTTGACTTCACAAAATACCTAATACTATTTWTGGGTTCTAGTTTTTGTATTGACTATAGTATCATTACGATTAGAAACACTTCTCGAAAAAATTKTATGGATAAAAATTATAGCCATTCATAACTTCATAAGAATATTATTATTTTTCAATTTTAGAAAATTAATCTGATGTGAAATAAAGTATTCTTTGATTGTGTCTTGCCACTCAGTAGATCATTGCAATACATGTGTTAAATAATATGTATTTAATGATAGAATAATTGTATTGATTGCATATTACCATATATTCTATATTTCTAACAATATTTTATAATTTGATTCTATTACTGTGACTTTATAAGTAACATTTTTAACGAATTTTTTTAAAACTAGAGATCAATACRCTAATAAAAAAAATGTGACTAGTTATTTGTGTAATTTTTTAATTTGTGTAAGGAAAACATATGTAAAACCTTTTATGAAATATTATCTAAGCTGATGATGAACTTAGAATATATATTTTTTGATATACATTTAAAATTACTCAAGACCCATAAAATGTTATATATTTTGAAAATGATATCGCATTTAAAACATATTCGTAARTAGTTGGTGAAATTTGCTACTTCTTACGGTTTTTATCTCGAAAACTAGTGCTCCTTAAATATTTCCATTTTAAATACTATTTGTTTTTCTTTGCAAATTTTATTTTTGACCTCAAAAAGTATATTAACCAAATTTATTAGCGACTACTTACAAAGTTTCAAATTCTATTACTATTTATTAATTTATTAAAAATATTTTTTYGAYCAARACAATGTTACTTATTTTATTTTTGTCAACGAACAGTATAATTATAATATGTCCAATGATTGTTGACACGCATAAATAGGTTTTGTGAATAACTTAAGAATAAATTTAAATTACCATAATATCATAGTACCGTTCTATATAATATAATATATGATGAGATGTAACAAGTTGGTGTCGGRATATAAATTTTACTATTTTTGAAACGTTAAAGTAGTTCACTGAATTCATTCCTCATATGAAATTGAAATAAGTAAAAAAAAGACTTCAAACAATTAAAATAAAATATTTTAATAAGTTTTTAACTATCATAAAAATGAAMATATTTCTGATTAAAAGTTTTAAAGAAAAAAAAACACCAAACATTAAACTTTACGTTTTAATTGCAAATTATTTGTCTGCTGTCGTATTTATTCATTGTTTCTAACCGAATATTGAAACGTGACAAAAGTGACAAAATTCAGTATCTGTTTAGTCTCGTTATCTCAGTATTAGTTTACAGCTTGAATGTAATGGACTTAGCTTAATTGATTTGTGAATTTGTTTGGAAATATTAAATTGAATAAATATGGGTTTTGTTTTTACATTTTTAAGTGTTATTTTTAATGAGTACTACATACCTTCGGAACCAATAAAGTTTGTCTTTGAAGTTCTGTTACTTCTACTGTGCAGCATTCCAAGAATTATTAAAGCAATCATTTCGTACGTTTATTTTCCACCAGAACCAAAAAATGTCGAAGGGAAATTAATTTTGGTATGCAAAATATACAATCAATATTTCACATTGTAATATAGTAATATATTAACATAGTAATATATTTATATATATATGTATATACTAATCACTGTCATTGCAAAAAATATATTTTGTATGTTATAACAATTGCTGATTTTTAAATCCAAACGTGAAATATAGAATATTTTCAATTAAAAAAAAACAGAGCTTAACTTTGTTTTATTTTTATATATATACTAATTGTGCACTTCGTTCCATAAACAAAAAAAAAACTAGCTAAATTGAAGAATGTGCATGTTATTTGGGATTTTCAATAATTAAATATAGAAACAAAAACAATTTTTGTTTTACAATTGTGAATTTGACATTTTCATATAATTTAATAGATATAATGTTTGGTAAAAATTGAGTAGCTTTTTTTATTTGATCCGTAGTTTTGCTAAGTGTATAAGAAAAAACTATAAAAAAAATCTTCGATGAACCTAACCATTTTATGCATCCTAGTCTAGAACCAAAGTAATTTTAAATCATTTTTTTTTTTTTTGAGAGTGAAAATTTTTAATAGCAGTCAAATTTGGCACCTCTGCTAGAGATTCATCCATTTATTTCATATATTTTGTATTTGTTAAGCAACGCRTAAGCCTGTTTAGCAAACGGCGTAACTCCGAAACAYATAATAACTTTAGAATTGAAGAAAAAAATTTTAATTTCTAAAATTCTTGTTAACACATTTGTACCCAACAAATATTTGTTAATATTACTTCATTAGTGTTTGATGATTTAGAAGTAATAACAGTTTTTTTTTTTACTTATGTCTGTTTCTTTTGTAATGATTACAGTTCAACGTTAATTTCATAAGTGTATTTWTCAGAGTTTTTCCAGTTTCTATAAGTTCAAATATTATTTATCGGAGTTACGACTCTTGAATTTTAATTATCACCATTTTAATTGAACAAAACATACTTAAATATTATTAGTATATGATATCAATCGACGTACATTCATTTTTTCTCTCACATGAAAACAATAAGGTAAAAATTAATTTGAAAATTTTGGAATTATGTCGTTTGCTAATCCAACTTAACCTAACCTTCAGTAAAATATATCATACATATTATAAAGAAAAATTTTTATGAATTTCTAATTTAAAATGATTTGTGAATTTTCGTGATTTTTTACACWGTTGTCAAAATTCAAACTTTGAATGCTTGTAAAAAAAAATGTGCTTATTTGTTTCTTTTATTTTTCACCTGCTATTGTAAAAATATGTTAGGAGCTTTATATACATTTTTCAAATCTTAGATATAAAAGGAAAATATTTTATGAATTTCTAGCTCAAAATAATTTGTGAATTTTCGTGATTTTTACAATTATATGTTGCAAAACTCAAAATTTGAATGCTTATAAAAAATGTTTTGGCTATGTATTTCTTTTATTTTTCAACTACTATTGTAGCAATATGTTTATTGTATTTAATTTTCTAGCTTTTCTGCCTAACAAATACATTTTAATCGTTATTAATTAAAAAAAAACTAATAATGATCGAAAATTTCAAATGCCTATGAATAGTTCAACTTAAGTCGAAAATTTTTGAAAATTGCATGGTGGATAGAATATACTTATATAAACATTGGGTGAAAATTTCATGTATCTATGGTCATTTTTTTAAAAGTTACATCAAAAACCAAAATCGATTTTGTCGAAAAATGAGTGTGCGTAAAATTTCCCGTTTTCCCTTAATTTTTAGTTTGTTTTTCTCGATTATTTAGAAAAGTATTAAGAATTTTTCAATTTTGACCCCCCAAAGTACCAACTAGATTCACTTTCTGATCGAACGAGGTACTGAAGTCAAAAAATCGAAGCACTTTTACTGCCCCAAAACGTGATGACAGACACAAAAAAAAATAAAAACACACATCATGGTAAAATCAATACATTCATCGCTCCGCTCAGAATCTAAAACTATTTTAATAGAGAAAACTGAGTTTTTTTTTTACTGATATACATATTTTGTTGTCTCCACTAAACACGGTTGATGGTTAATTTCGAGTTATTTAATTTAATTATTATACTATGRCCTACACTATCGTTTGGGATGATGTTATAATAATAATATCACTAAATGTATTCAGAAATAATACCGAGTAGCGGTGMCTATAATTTACGTTCTAGATTACAGGGACCGCCCGGGGAAACGGCCGTGAATTGGCCTTACAGTTTCACAGGTTGGGGGCGAAAATTGTGTGCGTTGATAAAGATGAAGTGGGCAATAATGAAACGGTCGATCGGATCAAGGCGGAAGGCGGCCAAGCGGTGGGATTTAAAGTGAATATTACCGACAAGGAGCAGGTAATGATGATGCACGCGGCCGTGAGAGATCAAATGGGTCCCGTAGACATTCTCGTTAACAATGCCGCCGTGATCGAGACGACATTGTTCGCCAATCCGGAAGCTGATGATACCATATTGGAAATAGTCAACACGAATTTACTAGGCCAAATTTGGGTACGTACCTCTGCATATAGTTAACCATTATTTTTAGTTTATTTTAATTTTTCTATTATTCTTTGTTAACACGGTCGACAATGGCCATTGCCCATTAGTTCGAATTTTTATTTTTTTAATATTTGATCGTACGATTCGGTATTTTCGAAAAACTTTAATATCAGTGTGCTGGTGTAAGCTTTGGGTCAAAAGAATGCGTCAAAAGTGTTGGACGAGTTGAGATCGTTGATTTCGTCTGCGTATTGGGGACATTATTCGGTGAATGATGCGGTTGACCGTAAGTTCAGTTCCACAATAATTGCATTTTGGTTTCTGTTCTTTTTCCATGAGGTTACTGTTTTCATAGGTAATCAGGGAAACACTTCCATCGATGTTGGAAAGGTATCCATATGTAAGACAGGTGTTCCCGATGCGGATGAGTCTATTGAATATTGTCCTATCCCTTCTGTTTAGAAGTGGTTTAGGCCAGCCGATGATTGTTTTTTTTTTTTTAATTATTATTATTCTTAATTCGGTGTTTTTCTCGAGCCTGTGGATGAGTTCACTATTAATTACAGTAGATTCTCACTTTTATGGTTAAGTATACCTATGTATACAGCACGACAGTGTACGTCTGACTGCAATATTATTTAATTTTTGTTTCTCTTGACTGGCGAGAAAAATTGTTTACTCGGAACGTCATTGGAAGATTATTGTTTGCGAAAAAAATAAAACAGTAAAACAAATATTACCCATCGTAATGTTTACTGGACAATGAACATCAAGATGTGTGAAAACTCCACTGAAGGTCATCGTTAACTTGGTTACTGTTTTYACAGGTTATCAGGGAAATACTTCCATCGATGTTGGAAAGGAACAGTGGCCATATCGTAACAATATCATCGATGACGTCATTCAAAGGGCTGCCTTTACTTTTCACTTATTCTGCGACAAAATTTGCTTTAAATGGTAATTATGGGTTCTCTTCGAATTCAAATATTATATTGTATAAAACTGGTCATCAATGTCATATATTTAATAACGTTGACAAAAATTATACCGTCGAAATTAATTGAAATAAACGTGGCATGGTTTAAAAAGAAAAATTTAAAGGTGATAATGAGTATTTTTGAATGATTTTTAATAATGCTCGAAATTAAAATGAATTCATTTACCTATTTTGATATATYTTGTTTTTCTTGCACATTTAACTCGTTGGTTTCTTGTGACAGGTATGATGGAAAGTTTAACTAGAGAACTTAAACTAATGAAATCGGACGTAGTTACCACAACGGTTTGTCCATATTTTATCGCGAACTGTCCAGACAAATCGAAAAGACGAATATTAAGGTATATATATAATGATCTAGTAAGATTTTATCGATCACGTAAAAAGCATTTATAAATMATTTTTAGACTTCCAGAACTACCAACAGAAGATGCTTGTGCATTGATAATCGAAGGAATATTACGTAATGAACGAGTTTTTACGGTTCCCGATTACGAATTTTACGCTCTGCCATTAATAGAGTAATTACAGTCATTTTACTAAATGTCAATATTTTAATACGAAATTTGCGTTGAACATGTGAAGTATGTTTGTTTTATAGTTTTATCAATAGATACAACAACAYATATTAACGTAATAATATATGTTCTTCGTATAGAGCATTATAGACAATTGATGTGAAAAATGTCTATTGCTATTTTGTTTTCATTTATTATTTTTCACTCAAAATACGAGAAAAAATTAATTCGATGTAACATGGTTTTCAGTTTTTTGCCTGAAGATTTGCAAGATATGATTGGCGACATGGTGTACACAAATGTCGAACCAACACCAGACGAAAAAAAAGTCATWCAAAAATATACGAAATTCGCGGAAATGAACAAACCACAGGTCATTTTAATTATTGATGTTTTTAAACCTTTGGGAAACACACTATTTACTTATGATAAAATTTACCATTTCCCTCCGTGAAATGAGTAGTAAAAAAAAAAAATAATACTTCATGTTTTTTTTTTTTTTACAAACGATTACATGCAGATTAAAACTACCTGTTCGGTACTCCACTTTAGGGGGAAACTTATATAAATGACGGTAATTACGAGGTTCTCGTTTGTCCTTATGTAAGATTATATTTTATAAAATAAGATAGGTAGTAAACATAAAAAACTTGAAGAACAATTAAAATGATAAGCTATTTCGTCTTGTCAGTTATTTCATACTCAAAATTATAAATGAACAATGTACACGAATTATTATATTATTTCTATTCAATTGTTTTAACTACGATAGGTATACTCATTATTCACAAGTGCAAACATATAAATCATAATAATATGTTTAATATTATGTATTATTTATATTTAAATTAAATAATAATATTATGTAACAGTAGAAACAGTAACTACCTCCTTAAAAATAATCTATCACAATCCTAGGCTTTACTTATCCAAAAATGTATACTCCGAATCCAAAATATTAACGGTAAAACAATTATATTATTTAAAAAAAGTGGGCAATTGGATGTCGCTCTGCTGTACATTATGTACATTAGGGGGTGGGGTGGACCTCTGTCTAGGGTAGGTTAAATTTGAATGCAATGATAGGTATACTCATTGTATACGAAAACGATTCTGAACGGAGATGATTAATTGTCAGTCTAGGATAATATATTATATTTAAATATTGTAATATATTCTATTTTTTWATTAGAACGCAATTTGCATAGGCATGATTATTAAATTTTTCCAAAAACATTGCATGTAGTTATCATAATTCATAATACCTTATATTATCATA